AATATCTGATATGTATATAATATTATACACGTATAAAGATATGTGTGTTGTATGTTGCAATGGGGATATGTCCATCCTGGGATGATGATCTCCATTGACAACTATCGTTTTTTGGTAGATGATGGTTCAACATGCCGGGATATGTTGGGAAAGGTCTTGGTCTTGTGATTTTTTGTGATGTGTTTTTTCGTCATGAGGATGAATCGTACAAATATCCATGTGCAATGGTGCGATATGACTATGAGATTCCTCCAGACCACCAGCCAAACACTGTGGGCCGTCAAGTACTGGTAGCACTGTCACCGGTAGCATTGGCATGAATCATCTAAAAAATCATGCCCACTGGACAGTTCTTTGTTGACTCTTTCACCAGAGTCTGGTTTAAGGAAATGTCACAAGGTTACATGGACTTTTTCATGGCAGCGAAGCATGGTGGTGTTGCACATATTTCAGGCAGCCATGGGATGAGTGAAGCGGTAGCCTAATGACTGGTTGCCAGAGAATTTTTGCCCCTTCAGCCCCCGAGTTCCGTTGGGAGGCTGCATTTGCGTGACATCAAAACTGGAACGGAGCGGCCCTTGTACTTCGACGTGGCTGGCGAGGCGCCATGAAACAAAAAGTATAGATATACTCTTCATAACCAAAATAAGTCCAGGTTATGACAATTATGGTAATACACATACATACACATAAAATTATACATACATATATATCATATATATATATACATATGTATCATATATATATATATGTATATCATATATATATATCATTTATATATATATATGAAATATTTATATATCATTTATATATATATATATATATGAAATATTTATATATCATATATATATGATATAATATATACATACGTATATATCATATTTATATATGGTTATACATATATATATATACACACTGTATATGGTATATATATATACACATGATTATAATTGTATAATTATATATATATATATATATACACATATTGTTGGTATTCTATTTAACGAAGGATTGCTTTTGTGAGGTACCTATTATTGCCGTGGACAGTTCTCCATGGCTCTTGATGACAGGAAGCTTGGGGGGTTACTCCTCAATCATCAAGACCGAATCTTTATGCAGTGTTGACATTATACAGATACGAGTGTGGTCGCGATTTCGCAACGCGAAAGTACATGCGCGAAATCGCACCATGAGAGTATTTCATGAAATACCAGAAGAGTTTTAATCACCGCTATGGTATTCCAGTGACTAAGCCACCGAGTGGATCACTAATTCATGGTCCTTTGGTATTCCGAATTAGATCAGTGATATAACCAGTGATATCACTTTAGTGCTATTATTCACCAATATAGTCACTAATATAACCAGAAATGTAGGAACCTAAATTGGATCACCAAGATTCCAGTGACGTATTCACCACCGAGTCCTTTGTTTGGGATGTCCGAAGGGCCCAATCGCTGGTCTTGGTGCGCAGCCAGCTGTGCTTACTACGAAGATGTAGCCGGCCTGGTAAACGTTAACAAAAACCGATGGAAAATCACACTGTCTTATGCCTGGTATGAGCATCATAATCCCAGTATATTGGAAAATCACATTTTTCAATGATTTTACTGTAATGGGTAAATCAACTATTTTTATGGTCATTTTCAATAGCTTTTTGTATGTTTACCAGAGGGTAATGTGTTTTCTGTTGCTTTATGACATTTTATGAATGTGCATTCTTGTCTTGGTGCGTTCTCCAAGGTTTTTATCTTGGTGCTCTCCACATTCGAAGGTGATATGTTGATATATGCTTCTCTCCACATTCGATGGTGATGTGGTGAAATGTGCTTTCCATACGCCGAATAGGCGGTTCTGACAATTGGGGTATGTAACATATACCCCAAAACCATGTCTTTTTTAAGGAACCCCTCATACTATTTCTTATGTCCAGTGATTGTTTGTGTTCCAACAATTCTAACTATCCTTTATGCAATCCCGTGTTCATGGCCCCCTCCCCTCCTCTCCCCCCTATGGTATGGCGGGGGTTACCTCCCCACCCTCCGAAAACCCCCCACCCTTCCCCGCCCCATCAACCCCCACCCACCCCCCACCACATCCACAGGGGCGAAGGGATACATAGACATGTGCATAGACACGTACACATACATACTGTATACATTTGCACATATACATACTATACACGTATACACACGCACGTGTATATATGTACACACATACACTATTTACACATATAGATATATAACTATAGAACTTACATATAGGGATCATCACCATCTCGGGGGGGACCACCAGACGCTGGCCCATATTTGGATCCACTGAATTCACCAAAGTGTCGGTGAAATTCATGGTTGCTGTCGGTGGGGCTGTGGTTTTTTCCGCTGGTGCAAATTTTTGTAAACTATTCATGAGGTTTCAAAACCAAGTTATACCCGGACTCACATAGACCCCAAATAAGGCTATAGAACCGGGTAGCGTGCTAAAAGTGGCACCATGGCTTCAGGGTCGTGTTGATTTTCTTTTTTGTTGAAGTCACTAGGTCCATGGTATCTTCGTTTCCGCTATATTTTCCCCAAAAAATCACATCAAGAATCCCCATTCGAGTGCCTCATGGCTGAAATCCGCGCGATTTTATCCCATTGATGTAGTTCCCATAGTGTGTATACCATTACATTTGGATGAATTTGATCATGAGCTCACGTCGTTTTCTGCCTATGGAATGATGGGACGATTCTGGGGATCAGCCTGGCTGCAAGCTTCTGCCACTTTCAGGTTTGCGAACTATGATCATTCAACCAGATATACCCCATGATCAACTCAATCCCATTAAATCCCATTAAGTTGCTGGTTAGATCCACCTTCAGCCAGGAATTATTATCCCTACTTCAGCCAGAAATTATATAGGATAGTATCAAGATACATTAACCAGAGGGATTTTTCATGGGATTTGATGGTTATATCATATATATATACATATATATATACATATATATATATATACATATACATACACATCTATATATGCATATACATATACAGATATGTAAATATATATATATATACAATCATACATATATAGATATACATATGTAAATACATATATTTACATATACATATATATACATATCTATACATATATATACATACATATATTTAAATACATATACATATACATTGACACAAGCATACATATAGGTATATATACAGAAATAGATACACTATATATATACAAACATACATATGTGTACACAAATACATATATCTATATATACATATCTTTATATACATATATACATATATACATATATACACATATATACATGAATGTATATATACATATTACATTTACATAAGCATATATATATACACATACATTTACACATGCATATATCTATATATAGACATAAATGTACATAAATATATACATAAATGGACATATATATATACACATACATACATAAATATTAACATACATACATTCATACGTAGATAGATACATAGATAGATACACACATACATACATAAATACATACATACATACATATACCTACATATGTATATATACACACATACATACGTTTGTATATATATATGCATATATTTATATATATATATATATTTGTAAAAAACAAATATATATATATTTACATATACATACATACATACATATTTACATATATACATACATACATATATACATATATATACATTTCAATATTTATTTACATATATATATATGCATATATATATACACATATATTTACATATATATATATATATTTACACATATATATATATACATAAATATATACATATATTTACATATACATACATATATATATACATATATATACATATATATATATATACATATATTTATATATATATATTTACACATATATATACATAAATATATACATATATTTACATATACATACACACATATATATATACATATACATATATTCATATTTATATACATACATATACATACATATATATATGTACATATATATATATACATATACATGCACATATATAGATTTATTTATATATATACATATGTACAAATATACATATACATATAGTTCTTTTGGCATATACACATATATACATATACACATATTTATACATATGTATATGTATATATATAGATACATATGTATATGTAGATATATATTTATATATACATATGTACATATATACTTATATGCATATTAGACATATATTGATATTTTACATATATATATATACATAAATAAACATATATATATATACATAACTATGAATCATGGGATTGGAAAATCTTCGGCCAGGTCACTATTGGCGATCTCCGTAAAGCCACCCTCCGCACCTTGGTGATCGGCAGGGGCGGAGATCAATCCCCGGTGACTGAAAAATCTTCGAAAAATGGGAAAAATCTTCGAAAAATGGCGGCTGATGCGACAAATCATTGGAACATCATTGGAACATCATGGGAAACTGTGGGTAAATCATTGTAACAATCTTTACCCAGCCATGTAGGTAAATATACCAGCACCATGGGTTGCGGGATTGACATACCCTCTGGTAAATTAACAGTTTGCTATAGAAAATCACCATTTTCAATAGGTAAACCATCTATTTCTATGGGCCATTTTCCATAGCAAACTATTAGTTTACCAGAGGGGAAATCATAGTAAATTCCGTATAAATGGAGGTTCTAGTTGGGCAAATATCAATGCACACTTTTTAGAACAGGTGATTTTTGAGGCATGGAACTGATTAACAGAGAGAGAGATTGATATAGTATCCCCAAGAGATAGTGTTTGGTATAATCCCTCTAACTTATAGTGATGGAAGTACTTAAAACTATCTTTTTTGGGGTCACTACATTGAAGCTGGAAGCTTCTGTGGTTTCCACCCGACATGATCTATATAGATTATCTAGATTAACTAGATTATCTAGATTAACTAGATTGTCTAGATTAATGATGGATTTCACTGATTTTCCATTCCGCTGTGTAAATTCACAGTAGGGTAAGGTAGAGTGCTGGAAAATAATCGGTGAATGTGTACTTGTTTGCAATTTTGATCAGAAAGTAGACTAGCCAGAAAGAGAAGGGGTTTACTCACAAAATGTATAAACATGATATATTCACTTCCGTTGTGGCCAAACCCATCGAATTTCGAGCTGGAAATGGTGAACCCATTGGTCTACTTGGTCTACTGCTTTTCCCCAAGCAGAGTGTCCACACTGAGGGGTTCTTATGGTAGGTGTAAAGGCCGGTGCTTGATCAGGGTGCTCAATCTGGTCTCGCGCGTTATTCCCGCATAAAATGGTTCTTGTGAAATCTTGACATGCGTTTTGGCTGCGCAGGCTCGCACAAAATGCGGGCCGTGGTTTTGGTCCGTGGCATTTTCGCTTAAAATTTCTGCATAAAGTGGCTCTTGTGAAATCTTGACATGCGTTTCGACTGCGCAGGCTCACACAAAGTGTGGGCCGTGGTTTTGGTCCGTGGCTTTTTTCCTGAAATTTTCCCCATAAAGTGGCTCTTGTGAAATCTTAGCATGCGTTTCGACTGCGCAGGCTCGCGCAAAGTGTGGGCCGTGGTTTTCGTCCGTGGTTTTTTTCCTGAAATTTTCCCCATAAAGTGGCTCTTGTGAAATCTGTGGGCCGTGGTTTCGGGCTGTGGCATTTTTCTTGACAATTTCTGTATTGACATGCATTTGGACTGTGCAGGCTCACTCGAAGTGTGTCGTCATCATCATCGCCATCATCAGCATCATCATCATCGTCATCGTCATCGTCATCTTCATCGTGATCGTCATTATCATCATCTTTGTCGTCGTCACCATCATCATTGTCATCCTGACCATCGTCATCATCATCATCATCATCATCAACACTATCATACAAATCCTCCCACTCCCCCACACTGTTTGGGGTCTCTTGCCGGGATATTTTTTTCAAGCTATTCTGGGGAAAACTCGAAAAAGATGTGGGAAACCATGGAAAGCCCATCACTTGTGCGCCACGACCGAGGTCGCTTTCCAGTGATCTTGTGCCGGCGCAAGGTGGGAAATGCTTCAAAAAAAACATCTTTTTGTCCACTGTTTGTTTTGGGGGGTTCAGCATGGAGGTTTCTTTACATGGGGAATATTCAAAAAATAATGGTTTATAATTTATACAATGGAACAATAATGGAACATCTTATTAGATTGGATGGGTGGTAACATCCATTTTAGGAAACCTTCGTTCAAATGTTTCGAGGTGAAACTCTTCGTGATGGGTCAGATGTTAGAAGATGACTTCATGCCACTTTTCCACATCAGAGGGATTTATGCCCCTTGGCCTTGAAATTCCATCGTTTCATGGTGGCCATGTGGATCTCATGGGGATATTATGGAATATTTATGGGATATTTTGCTGGAATATTGGTTTTCAATCTTATAGCATGTTATTACCTACTTGGAATTCATCATCACCGACTGAACTGGTTAACTATTGCCTTGGAACATCATCCCAACTTCAGTTCAGCAAACTCTGGAACATCGTCTCCGAACTCTTCGCTTCTCCCGTTCTCCCAGTTGGTATCGGCAGGGAATTCCCCGCGGTCCCGTTGCTGCCGCCATGGGAAAATCATAGGAACATCATGGGAAAATGCTGGGAAATTCAATATTTGCTTGGTGCTTTGGAACCATGGAATTTTATGACTTTCCATTGGGAATGTCATCATCCCACCTGACGAAGCCCATCATTTTTTGGAGGGGTAGGTATACCACCAACCAGATATGGATGGAAATTTATGGGAAAATCGTCGAGTTCAGCTGGGGAACATTTTCCAGCCATGTTTGATGAGAATTTGATGATCAGATACCGACTTGGATGCCTGCAGTCGAATTATATAAACCAGCACTGGAGAAGCATGTTCATGTGATATTGCATAAGTACAAGATCAAGAAACAATTATGTCATTGGAATCCATGCCAGCTTCATAGATTTTTCTGTCTTCTTTCTGTAGAAAGACGTAGCACCCTCAGAATTGGATGATGGGATTCTTTTTTGGTAAGACCCCTGTATAACTATAGTCATGCTGGAGTAGATAGAATATGATGGAATTTGGACATTTCAAAAATCATCACCAAGTAGAATAGGAATATCTTTGAAAAAAAATCATGGTCTATCCACTTTAGGATGTACCCTCTGGTAAACAAACAGTTTGCTATTGAAAATGGCACCTTTATAGTTGATTTACTCATTAGTAGCATGGTGATTTTCCATAGTTATGTACACGTTTACCAGAGGCTAATACATAGTCATAGCACCACTATCCGCGAATCATGGAATTTCTATGGGGAATGAATGCTGTTGGTTCCCAATTTCAGAGGTGACCATAACCCATATTAATTCCATGCAACGTGACAATTGCAAACAAAATCTTTGGGCTAGATCAACTGGTTCGATGCGAACTTTGAACTACTGTATGTAATCCAATACACGAGTGTTTTGGTGGTGAAAAAGCATGAGTAATCCATCACAATCCGTTGCGTTTGAGGCTGAAACAAGGTAAGTTATACTGATTGGTTTGATGGAGCGGGGAACATTCTTATCATACGAAGAATAGTCATGATCGACGATCGTGATCAGAATATATATATATATAAATATCAGAATGGTAATCATCATCAGCATCATCACCATCACCATCATGAATCATTATCATCCAAAATGAGAACAAACCTGTACCAGTTTCATCCTGCTGGAAATGTGTTTTTCCGAGGAAGGGGCTACAGTGAAGCTTGGTTTTGCAGTCATCGGGCTGGATGAGGGGGATTTTATTTATTTTTTATTGTAAATACCACTAAATAATGCTAAAGGTAGGTTCTGGTGGTGGGTGTGACCACATTATATATATTATATATTATATATACATGTATATACACACAGCCTATATTTAAATCCCCATGGATTCGAATCCCCCAGCTGCATCCTTTCCAAGGGATCCACCGTTGCAGGAACTTCATGCCAGGGCAGCGTCTCTTGGAAGCTACGCCGTCGCCGAAGAAGAAGTCCTGGAAGAATGAAGGCCACTGTGCGCCGGTCGTTTGCCTTGCTGGTGTCGGCCAAAACTTAAACCCCCCCCCCTTTTTAAAGGGGCATGGATTTGCAAATTACAATGTAATGGTAGAAACCCCTCCAAAAATATATAAATAGCAATATGGCAATATATCTATAATTATCTATATATATATACATATTATATACATATATGTTTTTTTTTGAGATACATCATAGTATTAGTCTGTATCTCTACAGTATAGTAATCCCAGAATGGAAATTATAGACGTGACCTGGCAGGGGACACACCCTAAATGATGCCTACTTGAGCTGGGTCCACAAGCCAGGCAAAACAAACCTCAAGTAGTGAATTTACCCTCTGGTAAATCAACATAGACCCTGAAAATAACAGTTTTCTAGTGGAAACTAATCTTCCAATCCCTATCTGCCAGGGTCTATGTTAATTTACTGAAGGGTATCACATTTATAACTAGGTTACAGCCCCACTTAGACTTACTAACGACTTACGATTCGTGGGATGCTTCTCCAGGTATTTTCACGCTTAAATTTATGGGAATGTATACTATCTTGGTGGATGGTGGGTCCGGACCTGTGGTAATTTAACACGTGGCTACTGATGGCTACTTATGGCCCATTTAGTTCCATGACTTGCCATAAACAAATTCGGTGACTTCCGAGATACGCTATGGTACGTTGAATTGCCGGGTAAATCCCATAAAACATGGGAAATCCAATGTTAACGTAGCTATATATCGGAAGTGGTAGTTCGAAAAATGAGCCAGCACAAATAAATGATTTTTAGAAACATCGATATCTATGATATGCAAAAATGCTCCAGAAAGTAAAATTCTATTTTTCGGAAACCAAGGAGATTACATACATGCTGCCCCCAAGATGGCTAAGTTGGTTTACAATTCCAATAACTATGGTTTATAGGTGATATATCGATAGTTAATGGGGTTTAAAAACCAATTTAGAAGTAGGGGGGCCACCACCTTGCATGTGATTTCTGACCTCCGGGCACAGCTTGAACCGGCAATGTTGTGGATAGCCACAAAAAAATGGGGAGCATGGTCCATTGGATCCTCAATATTTGTTTCACGCTTTCCATCCTCACACGTGGAAAAATGATCCAAGTTGACTCTCTACGCACACCTTGTATATTTGTATATGTAGTAAGAACAATGACAAGAACTGTAACCACAACACTGATAATGACATCAACAAAAACAACAGTAGCAATAATAGTGTTAACCATGAAAATAATGAGAATTACACTGGCAACAACACCATTTATCACACTGATAGCTACAATAATAATGGTAATACTAGACAAACGCAATAATCACCATAATCACAATGAGATGCATGATAGTGACAACAGTTGCACTGATAATGGTAATCATATGTAATAATATCAATAAACAACAACAATAATGGTAATTTGATAATAGACACACACACATGAATGTAAACATTTTCATAGTAATCTGGTTGGTGGTTTGGAACATGAATGTTATGTCTTTCCATATTGATTGGGAATTTCATCCTGACAAAGTCCATCATTTTTCAGAGGGGTTTAAACCACCAACCAGATATATTATTCATTAGATCAGGTATTAATCACTAATAACCACCATTGACCACTATTAATCACTATTATAAGCACATTAATAGCAATAGTAATAGTAATAGTAATAGTAATAGTAGTAGTAATAGTAATAGTAATAGTACTAGTACGGTAAAACCCTTCAGTTTGCCCGCGCCGACGCGGACGACGTGTCCGAACATCAAAAAACACTGTGTTTTGTGGGACAAAATGCACATGTCCATGATCATGGCTTTCATCTTGCAACGGGCAGCTTAGCTACCTGTGCGTTGAATGTTACAACAACATCGTCATCATCACCATCATCACCATCATCATCATCATCATCAGAATCATCACCATCATCATCATGATCATCATCAAACCCTTATTGAAGATCTTCAATGAATGTAGAAGTTTAACGGGGTGGGAAAACAAAACCCCTATTGAAGATCGTCAATGAATGTAGAAGTTTAACAGGGGTGGGAGAATTAAACCCTCATTGAAGATCTTCGATCTTCAATAAATGTAGAAGTTTAACGGGGTGGGAAAACAAAACCCTTATTGAAGATCTTCAATGAATGTAGAAGTTTAACGGGGTGGGAAAACAAAACCCTTATTGAAGATCTTCAATGAATGTAGAAGTTTAACGGGGTGGGAGAATTAAACCCTTATTGAAGATCTTCAATGATTGTAGAAGTTTAACGGGGGTGGGAGAATTAAACCCTTATTGAAGATCTTCAATGAATGTAGAAGTTTAACGGGGGTGGGAGAATTAAACCCTTATTGAAGATCTTCAATGAATGTAGAAGTTTAACGGGGGCGGGAGAATTAAACCCTCATGGAAGATCTTCAATGAATGTAGAAGTTTAACGGGGGTGGGAGAATTAAACCCTTATTGAAGATCTTCAATGAATGTAGAAATTTAACTGGGGTGGGACTGTAATATTCCCTACTACCCTTGTTGATCTTCCCAATTGAATGTAAAGTTTAACGGGGGTCGGAATTTATATTCCTTCAAAATCCCTAAGAAGTTGTGTGGGCGAACTGGGGGGTTTGCGCGTAACAGTAATAGCACCATTTTTTGGGATTCGTTGAGACCACCAGGAGTTTTCCAGGAGTTTTCCAATCTGAAAAATTGGTGAGCTCCGATTTTTGAACAAGGGGCCGGGTTTTTTTGCTCTCTGGCAATTGAACAGAGAACCATGAAAATCATTGAAAATCACCAATTTTTCGTGGAAACTAATCTTCCAACCCTTCAAAAAGGCAGGGTCTATGTTAAGTTTCCAGAGGCCACTCGATATAACTATAGTATAGTATTCATGCCATGAATTACCATGGTGTTTAACAACTAACTATATACACTGTTATCACATTTTCATGAATCATCATGGTAACTATCAGAAAAACATGATATGCAATTATACACCAATGTCTCGAGGGGGCCCGGGCAACCTTGTAGGGATGTCAAGCCAGCACCGGAGTAGCTGTAGAGAATTGTCATGAAGACTTGCATTTGTCAATGCAGCAAGAAACTTGGAGACCAACATCATTGGTCATCTTTTCACCTAGTTGGTGGTTTGGAACATGATTTTTTTTCCATATATTGGGAATTTCATCATCTCTACTGACTAAGTCCATCATTTTTCAGAGGGGTAGGCAAAAAACCACCAACCAGCCACAGAAGAATGACCTCACCATAAATGATGGTCAGCCCGAGAAGTACATGTCGTTGACCTCGATGCTTCAAAGTCCATGTTGATCGACACATCTGGATGATTGAGTTCACCTGGTTCGTTCCAGAGAACTAGCTACTGGAAGGGAACAGGAAATCCATCATTTTCCTCCGTTTTTCACCAGAAAAAAAGGGCATTGTTCAGATGTGGCATCTTTTTTCGATATATTTCTCTGTTCCAGATCATGCAGGGAACCTGTGGCATTCATGCAGGGTACAGTAACTCCGATTTCCAGCTTTATCGCGGCCCAGTCGACGACTTCTTAGATGACTTGAACGAATTCGACGATGCCTCAACCGTTTTCGATTCCGATGAGGCCGCATTTTGGCCAGGATGCAACACACATCTTCCATTACGATCCCTGATGATGGTGGGATGACCATAACCCATATCATGTAACTTGACTATAGCACATATAGTATAGCCTATAGCCCATAATCTGTTTCTGTTTGAGATGTACTGTGTCATACAGGCATCCAAACATCAAAACAGATGCTACCTCTCAAAATTTGCAAAATTTGCGTTGAAGTGGTTTTCACCTCATGTTCCTCATTCTGGGCAATGCATAGAGCTGGGACGCAAATTTGAGAAGGAACTCCACAATAATCAAGGCGGCTAGCGGGGCGATATGACTATCGATGATTCCCTTGGATTCGGGAAATTTTCCAGAGATTAGATATTAGATTAGATATATATATATATGGGATAGTCCTTCCCATTGACGAAGTCCATCATTTTTCAAGATGGGCACATTGCACCACCAACCAGAGATATTATTCATTAGATCAGGTATTAATCACTAATAACCAACCACTATTAACCACTATTAATCACTATTATAAGCACATTTTCATAAACCATATATATATATATTCTGGCTGTGTCATGGTTTCTACATGCACTACTGGTGCCTTGGGTGACCCTGGGTGATGAGTTTTGGCCATGGATCAAAGCAAAACTCCAGGCATCTGGGTAAACCTGGTTGAGTAATGCCAGCTCAAATTTAGCTGTTGATGCCAGCCGAACAGCAGTTTTGCAGGGTATGTTAGTCGTCATCATCATGATGATATAATGATATACAATGATATATAATAATATAATAATATGATAATAGTAGCAATAACAATAAGAGTTAATAAGTACAAATAATACTAATAATAAACTTAATGATAATAATGATAATGATAATAATGATAGTGATAGTAACAATAATAGTTAATAATAATAGTAACAATAACAACACCATTAATAACAGGTATCATCATCAACAACATCATCAGCAACATCATAAACATCAACATCAACATCATCATCATCATCATCATCATCATCGTCAAAGCCATTTCCAGTTCCAGGCAAGCCGTAGGCTCTTGCCGTAAGCCATAAATTGTACTGTGGTATGCTGTTGACTCAGTCCTGAAAGTGCTTGAAGACCAGCATTCAAACGTGAAACCAATGGGATTGGAATGATTGGATAAACATTATGGCAGTATGGGAATGACTACAATCCAACTGGATTAGAATCATCCAAGATGGTTAAAAAAACGGTGGATGGAAGAAATCCTGAACCAGTTGATAGGTGGTAAACATCCCATTATTTTTAGGGTTTCAACATGTTTCAACCATCCGGTTGGTGATGCAGGATTTCGCTGGCCCATCCACAGTATCATTGGATAAAGCCAGTAAGCTATGGAACGACGTTCACGAGAAGTTTCTGTCAGGAGCGTGAGCGACATGACACTTTGACTCAGGCACCGAAATCCTGGGGCATCCTGGGGCGGCTGGGTCCACCCGACAATTTCATGGCAATGATCAACTTGGCCAAATTTCTTGGCCTTTGCATGCCCATATGCTCAATAAAATCAATGTATGGTATATTTACCTACATGGCTGGGTGTTTTTTGGAGCAAATATTGGGATTCATATTCCAGCACCATGGAGCACATGGGATGGGTTTTTACCACATCAACAATCTCGAAGGGACATTGCATTCACCAGCCTGATTATGGCAGCAATGAATCTGTAGAAATGTCGCTTTGCCAACCTGTTCGTTGGATGCCCTGTGGCTATTGGCTCAGTATTTTTCGTTGCTTATAATTGTGATTTGCGGCTGAAGTTCATCATGAAATTTTGCATTTTGCTTGTTGCAGACCGGCTACTCGTGATGATTCTTCATAACTTTCATGGTAACATTTATGTGTCTTTTGATGTCTTTTGCGTTTTCCCTGGAGGAAATTTTGTTGTTCTCTCCCCTTCTTTTTTGAAGCAATGATTACAGTGTTTGCCCTTTCTCGATTTCTACAGGTTACCATACTTTTGAAGTAGTGCATTGTGCCCAAGGGAAAAGCATGCGCACATCTGCCAACCAAGAAGTGTGCACCTTTGGAACAGCCTACGCCTACTGAACAAGTCAGATTTTAGCAGCAAAACTGTTTCGCCAGTTTCGGTTTTGGCTGCTTGCGGTTTCCGATAATGTCAGATTCTGTCAGATGCTTCCACAATCTTCGGCCATTTTTCAACAGTCACCCCATGCTTCATGCAGCAAGTGTCGAAATCGCATCCTGTCAAAGGTTGGGATAGCCACGACTGGGGGAACTTCTGCAATACCCTCCGCTATTTTAACATAGCTATGGAAAAGGAAAATGGATGAACATGGCCCGTGGCCCATGAACAATCCCAACTGACTTTCATATTTTTCAGAGGGGTAGGTATACCACCAACCAGATTTGGTTCGATGATTTTGTGTACTTATTAAGCATGGTGATTTTCCTAGCAGCCCAGTAAGCCATGGAGTTTCAGGGCTAGGCTAGGATGAGCACGTGAGGTCAATCCTGGAAGCATTCCATGGGGTTTATATAATCCATAAGACGTGAGATTTAATGGAATGTTAATGGTTAATCTGTGGATTTAATGGGATTTAATTGGGATTTAATAGGATTTAATGTTAATGGGATACCATAGCATATAATTTACCGAGACACTAGGATATTGTGGTGTGTCCTGGTGTGTCTGAAAATGTGGGTATAGTAAACACCCCATAAGTGCCATTTTATGCCATTTGAATGTGGAACATGATGATAAGTGGTTTCATGGGATTTTGGGGACTCCGTTAATGTTCTTCTCTTTCTTAATGCAACAAAAGACATGCGTATTCCTATAGGGGTATGGCAGTCTAGGTGAATGATAGTCGCAAGGGGGGAATACTCTTTGACTCTTTCTTGGATTATGTCTCTATGTCCTTATTATTTCAAGTGTGACTGTCTCGGTAAATTATATGCTATGGCTATGGTATTCCCATTAACATTAAATCCTATTAAATCCCATTAAATCCTACAGATTAACCATTTCTCCCATAACAAGGGGACCTCCAGTCCGCCTGTCAGTCTGCTCCCGTGAGCCGCTTGGCGTCGAGTCAGTCCGCCGAGAGAGCCAAGGCGCTTCTGGGTGACCGTTGTGACCCCTTAAGAGGGAAAGTGGATCATTGGCATCCAGGGGCATAGTGTTATCTTGGGATCTTGCCATACCCATATGCTCAATGTATGGTATATTTACCTACATTTGGGTGTTTCTTGGGGCAAATGTTGGTAAATATTCCATACATGGAGCATATGGGATACATACCCTCTAGATCCCTCCAGTAATTTAACATAGCCATGGTATAGATGGCCCATAGAAATAGATGGTTTACCTATTATTTTAATGGTGATTTTCCATGGCTATGTTGAATAAGCAGATGGTAGTTAAATAATTTTAAAGATCTGTTTTCGTTGAAAAAACTGAAAGCACGTTTGAGCAGTTGTGAAAATTCTCCTCAAGAATATTGTTTTCATGCGCTGGCTCCAAGTTCTTTTGGGGAAGATCGTGGAACTTCTTCAGGTCAGATAACCACAGGGTAGCAATCTGAAGCGGTTGGTGGTTTCAAATGAGCCGGTGTGGCCCGAACCTCCCAGTTGGTCCGGCGGGGCCGGCTAAGATCGGGTTGGTGTGTATCCCCTTTTCTAGCCATGGCTCGGTCGTACCCCATGAACTGGGGCAGTTTGGACAAAGGCTCGAACATCAACTTGGTGAGGCGAATGCTGATCTTTGATTTCGAGCATGACAGACATGTCTTGGAAGTGATCCCTTCAAAGCAGACTTTTTACCTTTCAGGTTTGTTGGATGCTGGATACGAGAGTTACACACTGTTTGACGCAACATTGGCTTCTCAATTCCCAGTGCCTTCGGTGGCTTTGAATCCCTCTAGCAACGTACTTGGTCATAAGGATGTGACTTGGGACAGTTTGATGTCCGTGATCGATATGTGCTGTGGGTTCGGAGGGTTCACCCAAGGGATCCTTCCGTGTGGGTTCCATACGTCAGTCGCTGTGGATCACAATGACAAGATGATCAAGCTTTTCTCAACGGTTTCCAATGTGCCAATGGTATTAGGGGACGTGGGGGATAAGCACACCATCTGTCAGGTTTGGAAAGAATCACAGGGATCTCGCACAATGACTGCAGGATTCAGTTGCCAGCCCTTTTCGTCTTTGGGCGATAGAAGGAGCTCCGAAGATGCCAGATCCAGTTGCCTCACAAAGCTACTTCATGCTGCTTTCTATTTGCGTGTTCATATCCTAGTGTTAGAATGTGTGGCACCAGCAGCCATGGACTCTTTTGTCAAGGCTGAGCTAGAGCACTTTTGCACTGTCACGGGTTTTTCTTGCACTCAAAGAACGATGCAATTAGATCAGGTTTGGCCATGCAGACGATCCAGGTCATGGTGGCTCCTTACGTCACCGGTCATTGGTACCATCCAGATTCCAGAGTTCACATGCCAACATGCTGTGCCGACCATTGAGCATTTGATTCCCCTCGTCCAACCCTGGGATAAGAATGATGAAGATGCCCTGAAACTTTTGGAAATTGAACAACGTGCTTTTGGTGGCCTTGAAGGTGATTTTTCCAGGTATGTGATGAATGCCAAAGGAATTGCCCCATGCGCACTTCATGCTTGGGGGAATCAGCTGATTGCGTGCCCCTGCGGGTGTCGCAACTATGGCCTATCCGCTCATCGCTTGGCTGAAAGAGGACTTTTTGGTCTCCTGGTCCAGTGTGCTCCGGATCTCAATGGTGATTCCCACATCAGACATATCCACCCATGTGAAGCAATGGCTCTCAATGGAATGGATCCATCACTGGATTACGGCCTTGACCCTAGGTTAACCTTATCAGCTGTTGGTCAGATTGCGAGCCCTCTCCAAGTTTTGTGGGTAATGGCGGCTATTTCCAATCACATTGATGTACTGCGGTTTGGGAAGTCAGAATTTTCGGCTGAAACTCAATTACATGCTTACATGGCTTGGCTCGTCATGAAGTGTTCCTTGGTTTGGCCTCAGAAAACTGAAGCTGTCTTTCTGGAAAAGTTTGACCCATTGATCCCATGTTGGCAGAGTGTGGAACACCTGTCGCTTGAAGAATTGATGTTTCCTCAAAGGTGGGACAACAAGTTTGAGGGACCTGTCACTATTGGGGCCATTTTGGATTTTCTGTTTCGGGATCACCAAAACTCCGCCAAACCTGTGAAACCAATTTCCTTGCCTGTTGATGAAGACTGTTGCATGCTTGAACCTGAAACGCCTTGGATTGATTGTCCTGACCAAACCAAAACTGATGACGGTGAACCATGTCTTGACGCTGAGTTCTGTACAGTGTTTTTCGATGGAGACATTCAAGCACCAGTGAAGCTGAATCCGATTGTTGGATCCACATTGCAAGAATTGCTTAGTGCCCATGAGAAACTTGTGGGCACATGCCATGTCCAGCAGTGTGTCGATGCCAATGGCCAAACCCTGCCTTTGACCCATCGTCTTGCAGTTGGTGAGCTCATTTTTGTCAAGTTTATCCATCCGGCCATGAGTGCTTTGCCTCCAAGTGTGAAAGAAGTGGATGCGAGCCTCCCGGCCACCAGTCTTGACCCTGAGATCACGCAGACAGCACCGTGGACACATCCGCCTGATGAAACTAGCAGAAAGCCGTCCGTTTTTGACATAGGTGAATGTTCAGTCGCCTTGATCAAAGATCAACCGGCGTGGTTGAATGCAGAACCACTGTTAGGACTTCAGGGTGAACAATTCCAGTTTTTGTCCACGCCTCAGATCTCGAACCCCCAGCAACTTTGGTCAGTGCGCAATCAGTTTTTGAAAGTCCAAGACCGCCTTGCCATTTTGGCCAATCAGGGTAAAATCTCATCTGATGATGAACTCCGGTTTCACCTTTTTGCTTTGAGTCAGAAGTACGTTGAAACTCAAGTGCTTTTCTCGAAAGACCCTGTCAAACAGCTTGTCACCATAGACCCTTTGATTGCCACTGCTTGGCTTCATGGAAAGGCATTCTCGTGTGAAGCATGGGGACATGATCATGGGTTCATACATGCGCAGTCGTTGCCAGTTGCAACTGCTTTCAAATTGGGCAATCATTGGATACCTGTGTCCATGTACCCAGTTGGTGATGCTCTGCACGTGTTTCTTTGGGATGCGGATGGGAATGACCATACAAAGTTGAATGAAGTCCTTGAAGAACTTGGCCTTGCCATGGGCTTTGTTTCGGTTTGCATTCAGCGTGATCGTAGGATGTTTTTCACTTCGGATTTGTGTGGAACCTTGGCAGTTGCCTACTTGCACAATGTGTTCCTTCATGTTCAGTTGCCTGCCAACTCTGAAGAGACCTTGCAGCGCTTTCATTTTTATCGAGGTGAATTTGTCAAGTCCTTTTCTCACTGTGATATTGCTCGAAGGCCATGGGTATGGGCTCAAGGGGACCAAAATCAAACCAGTGACCCACAGGTGTCGCTTAGTGATACCGTGCAGTTGCCGGTCACTTTGACCAGAGAGCAGAGGTTGGATCTCATCTCTACGCATGGGAAAGCGGTGGCAGATGATGAGATTAGGTTTCACATTCTGCACATCATCGACAGGTACCATGCCATTTGTGCGGAGAACAACCAACAACCTGCGCATCACTACTTGTTCTTTGAACCCTTGGTTTTCACGTGTTGGGAGTCCATTGGCAGAACCATTTCAGCTAGGTGGTGTGAGAGGAACCCTGAAGTTCGCACACAGGGGAAACAAATTCTCACTGCCTTCTTGTTGGATAACCATTGGTTCCCTTTTTGGATTTCCCCGAATGGCGACTGCATTCAATTTCACACAATTGCGCATGAGGTGGTGGATGCTCAGAAGTTCCGAGATGTATGTGCTTGCATTGGTCAACAATTGGGTTTTCCTTTGTTCACCCTTCATATCTCTCCATCACCTTTGCCTGAACATGATTTGTGTGGCGCGTTCTCCATGATGTTCCTTGCTCACATTGTCCATGGTGCCAGGTTGCCAGACACGGTTGAAACCTTGACAACGCTTCACGCCAACATGAGAGCGACGTTTGTTGCAGACCTGTATACGAAGACTGAAGTTCCTGAGCCTGTGATTTGGGGGAATGGGATGTTTTCCAGGGAATCAGGGCCACTCCCTATAATGCCCTGCATGCAGTGCCATGACCAACCAGCACAGTGCGATGCCCAAAGTCTCATTGCAGAAACCTTTTGCCTCCCACAGTCTGTGAGCCAGCCTCTTATGGTTCAGGAGTTTGATTGGTATACTGTGCACAAACTTGTTCAGTGGCAAATTGGTTCCTCATTTTCGATGTCCCAACTGCCAGATCTGCCTTGCCAGGCTACTGATCTAGGTGCACACCAGTACACACGTGCTGTTGATGTTGCGGAAATGGAATTTCACCTTGCGCGGTTGCGTGCTGCCATGGTGCCAACCCAGGAATGTAGCAACCGCCCGATCATTTTGGTTTTGCAAGGGACCACGGAGATCCAAAACTCCTTGGTACAATTTGCCGCTGGTCAGGAGGATGTGATGTTGATGGTTGCATTGGAGGACCATCATTGGTTCCCCCTTGTGTGTGTCCGCACTGCCAAAGTAGTCCGTGTCTCTGTCTCGTCATCAGCCAGTACTGTCGTTCAGGAGATGGTTCCCAAGTGTCCAGGCATGCTTGTACAGTACCTTGCTGAACCAGTCAGCCAATACTTGTGTGGTGCCCACGCAGTGAATGTCATTGCGCATGTCATCTTTAACCAGCCGATTTGCTCATGCACGGAAGAGTTGGAATGCCTGCATTTCCAGTTGAAAGGTGATTTCACCTCAGGTGGTGTCCCTGAGGAATTGACTGGAAAGATTGGATATGGTCCACAAGGGACATTGTTGAAAGATTTGGCCTCCGTCCTTGTCCAACATGGTGTACCAGCCAGTCTTGCTGAAGACCGTGCAACAGATGCTATCAGTGTCATTGGAAGTGAACAACTCTTGACAGCCATGCAGCACCGCCAGCCATGGCGGCAATTGAAAACGCTTGGCAATCAAAAGAAGTTCAAATTTGTCTTGCCGTCGGAACTTGCAAGGGTTGTTGATGCTAAGTCAGGAACCGCAGGTGGAAAAGGTCAGGGTAAGCATAACGGAAAACATCCAGCCAGCATGGAACTGGACCCTGGAAAGCTGCGGATTGTTGATGGAGTTTTTCGTGCCAATGACAAAGTTGTACCCCAGATCAATGTGAAGCAGATTGGCCCGGTCAGTTCAGGTGTGATTTTGATTTCCCTTGCCGAAGCTGAGCCATACTTGAGGTCTGCCCGAAGTGTGTCAACTGAGCCATTGGCACTTGCCATCTTGCACCGACCCGATGCTGAGGTTAGCACAGCGTTACCGCACTTGAAAATCACTGTCCCTTGTAGGTGTACGGTTGATCAGGAACCAGTTCTTGCTGATGTTACCTTGGTTCAGATCGGAAGTGGGTTCGTCGAGAAGCACAAAGGTCATGATCTTGTTGAGTTGGAAACCCTGGATGTCGTCACTGTCAAGTACTTGGTTTACAGAGATGAAATTCCGTGTTCATGGGAAGACTTTTGTAAGGCCCCCATTCGATTTTTGGTCAACAGCTTTCCTCTCCTCCGCCGATGCTTTGACAAAGGGTGTGATTGTGACATGTGGCATAACTCGGAAAACCTGGGAGTCAAGGAGCCAATCTTGGACGTTTGGCGTCGACAATACCTGAGGCTGGGTTTTAAACCTGCACCAATGGACAAAGCAGAAATTTTTTCAGTGTGCCTCCGTGTTCCAACGCAGATTTTGGTGGGCCTACTCGCAGCCAGTGGAGCTGCTGGCGCGTATGCCGAACCAAGAACGGCAGATGGTACCGAAATTTTGGCCGAATACACAGTTGTGTGGGCCCCAAAAATGAGTGCCCAGGAGTTGAAGCACTTGCAGCAAACTAACCCCGCGATCATCGGCATCGCCAGGGTGGGGGACCGCAAGGGATTGCGGGTGTTTTCTTCCCAAGCATCCGAAATCCATCAGCTGGTACGACCAGATACTGTGTACCTTCCACAAGGCCAGAGATCATTGTTCATGGTGGGACCTTTTCCCTTCGGTATTGACCGTGCTGCAATCAGTAAGGCGATGAAGAAGGCATGTTGGGAATGTAGGCCCCTCCAGCCATCGATGCCAGTGCCAGGAAAGGGCTCTATGTGGATTGTGCAAGCTGTTGATGCCCCGGCCAACACCATCATTGCCACAACACATGGAGAAGTGGTGATCACTCGCCACAAGCCTGAAACCATTGGTAAACCTGCTATCCCGACACCAGTTGCCTCCGCAGCTACGCTAGCATTGTGTGGTGCACAGTCAATCAAGCAGACGAGTGACACTGACCCGTGGTCTATGAAAGATCCGTGGGGTGGCTTTAAACCCAGTACTGCGGTGAAACATGCCGACGACACCGAAAGCATGCAACAGTTGGAGCGTCGAGTCCAGAATGCCGTTTTGGCCAAATTGCCTGCGCCAGCCATGGAAGATGATTTGCCTGAACGCATGAGTCTCCTTGAGGGACAGGTCCAACAGCTCATGGTGAAACAACAAGGGCTTGAAGGACACTTCCATGAGTTTTCGGCACAGCAGGGACAACAACTGTCTGCAATGCAGGTCCAGATCAACAACCACGGGCAACAACTTCATGGGCACATGGAGAACCAAAATCAAGCTATACAGTCTATGTTTGCCCAGCAAATGGAGCAGATCAGAGGCTTGTTGTCCAAGCGCCCGAGAGATGAATTAGAATGAGGGTACGGGCAAGGGCACTGTTTCATGACGTGTGTTTTGGTGTGCCTTCTCATTTGCATGATGTGTGCCCTGAGCCCGTTTACACTTGCATGCTGCTGGCTTTTCCCTGTGTTCGCTGTGTGCCTCAGAAAGCCGGCTTGCCATACGAAACCCCACCGCTTTTGGGGGATTTTGGTTTTGATTTTTGGGTGTCGCCTTGGGGAAGCTTCTAATCCAGGCCCCCCTGGAGACTCAAATTTTGTTCTTGGTGCCTTCAACCCTTCTGGACTTCCAGGTAAAGCACCGTTCATAGCCGCCCACCTCGCTCATGGAGATCTTTGGGCAGTTTCCGAAACCCATTTGTGCCAGAAGGGAGTGAATGACTTCAAAGCCGGCTTGCATTTTGCCCAAAGCCCTTACAAATATGTTGTCACAGGTCACCCTGTTCCTACCCCGACATCCAGGACTCACCATGGCCAATGGAAGGGTGTTGCAATGTTATCCAAGTTCCCAACACGGACATTGCCATTGCATGGTCATGTGGAAGTGTATGAATCATCACGTGTTATGGTTACGGCTACCATTGTGGATGATATATGGATCACCGGGGGTGTTGTTTACGGTGAACCTGATGGGCATCTTTACCCGCTTCACCATCAACATAATGAAGTCTTACTGCAAACGGTGGTCAGCCAGGTGTGTGGATTATCAACTGGTCCTCGGTTTGTGGCTGGTGATTGGAACAGCTCGCCCAATAGCCTACCAGTTTTTGACCTTTTGCAGAACTTCGGCTTTCGTGATCTCCAAGATGTTGTTTGGGAGAGGTGGGGAATCCAACCCCAAGCAACTTGCAAACGCAAGACACGGAAAGACTACTGTTTCTTGTCCCCTGAACTCCAAGCCTTGTTGTTAGGGTACAAAGTTTTGGACGATGTTTGGCCCGACCATGCAGTTTTGCAAGGTGAATTTGCCAGATTTACAAAGGCCATCCCGCGCCAGATCTGGGCCTCGCCAGCTGAGTTCCCTTGGCCTGTGACTTGGGAAGTTGACCCCCTGATTTGGAAAACATCCAATGCCAGTGTGGATGCCAAATACACTGCAGTGTGGGAGCACATCGAGCGTACTGCCACTGAGGTGTTGCCTTTCAAGCCACAGAAGTTTTGCATGGGTAGGGCCCGAACCACCTCCACTAAGGCTGTGGTCTCTGGTAAAATTGCACCGGTCAAGCGTGGTCGGAAAGGGGATTTCAACCCACACTTCCTCTGTGCCTCATTTCGACATGCCCAGTGGGTCCGTCAGGTGCGACGGCTCCAGTCCTTTGCGCATTTTGCCAATGGTAGTAACTTCCAGCCAGACAATCAACACTCGCTTGCTGTTTGGGGTTCCATTATTCGTGCCAAAGGGTTTGTGCCTACCTTTTGCCAATGGTGGGAAGAAAATCAGTTCAGGGTCCATGGTGCTCCTGTCAAGGTCCCATTATACCCGCCTAATGCCCAGATTGCTGTCAAAATGTTTGAATCCGTTGCTCTGGCGGCCCGTGATTTTGAAGGAAAGATGAAGAAATCCTCTCGTGCTTATGCTAGACTTCGAAGGGAACACAACCCTAACATGATCTTTCAAGATATCAAATCTCACCCGGTGAAAGGGGTTGATTTACTTCTACGTCCGGTTGAAGCTGTGGTCCAAGAAGTGAGAGAAGATGAAAATGCACTGGTCCTGGACCATTCCTTTGACCTACAAGTTGACTGCCCTGTTGTTTGTAACGGTACCAAGGTAGATGTGATTCATGCTGAAGCTGACTGCCTGTGGGTTACGGATTTAGCAAACATCACACCTGGGAACAAGATCACTCAACTGTCACAAATTGGAACGGAAGATGAGTTGTGCTCTGCATTCATCCAGGCATGGTCAGAAAAATGGGAACGACATGCCCAAGTGCCTCCTTCACGTTGGGAACCCATTTTGCAATTTGCTCGTGCCAAGCTTCCTTGCATCAACATGGCCTGGGCACAAATTGACTCCAAGACTCTTCGCGACACAATTTTGCAAAAGAAATCTGCCACCTCGCATGGCCTTGATGGTGTGTCCTTAGCAGATTTGAAGGCGCTTCCTTTGCCAGCCCTCCAAAATTTTTGTGACATGTTTGCCCACGCAGAACTGACGGGAGAATGGCCCATGCAGGTCACTGCTGGACGGGTCACCTGCTTAGCCAAATGTGAACACCCTAGGGGGCCTATGGATTTCCGCCCCATTACGGTATTTAGCCTCCTGTATAGGTGCTGGGGCTCGTTCCATTCCAAAAAGATCTTGCATGCTTTGGATCCTCATTTGCCTGTTGGATTGTTTGGGTCGAGGCCTCAGTGTTTTGCAGGTCAGGTGTGGTCACAGGTTTTGTGGATGATAGAGAATGCCCATCTTCACTCCATTAGCCTTTGTGGAATTCTGGCCGACCTGCAAAAAGCTTTCAACATGCTCCCGCGGACAGTAGCCATTGAAGCTTGTGCCATTTTAGGGGTTCCCTTAAATGTCCTAGTTGGTTGGGCGGGTGCACTGAGTCAAATGCAGCGACGGTTCCAGATTCGGCAGTCCTTAAGCCCTGCGGTCATGTCCAACTGTGGGTTCCCGGAAGGTGACGCTTTATCATGTGTAGCAATGCTGGCGGTTGACTTCATTTATCATGAATGGTTTCGACATTTCATGCCACTTGCTTTACCGATTTCCTATGTTGATGACTGGCAGCTGCTTGTTTGCGATCCTGCGAGTGTGTCTCATGCGGTTCACACACTGGACACATTGGTGGATGCGTTAGACTTGGTCCTCGACAGGAAAAAGACGCATGTTTGGGCGGTGCAGCCAGAAAGCAGACTAGTGCTGAGAGAAGGGGGCTTCTCACTGACTGCCTCATGCAAGAACTTGGGAGCCCACCTCCAATTTACCATGAAACACACGAATAGTGTTCAAACGGAACGTATTAACTCACTACAGCCCCTTTGGCCACGCCTTAGGATGTCTACCTGCAGTTATCGTTTCAAGGTTCGAGCATTGAAGTGTGCAGCTTGGCCTAAGGGCCTTCATGCAATTGCAGCCACCACCATTGGCTTGAACACGCTCCAAACACTACGTGCGGGGGCTATGAAAGGGCTTGGAGAAGATCATGCTGGCAGCAACTCTAGTTTGCACCTTGGTTTGGTTGAAGCGCCACAAGCAGACCCCCACTTTTGGTGTATCCAACAAACATTCCGCTTTGTGAAAGATTGTGGTCGTGCTGATGTTGTCCAAGAGGTTTTGGCTTCCATGGCATATGGTGTGACCCCGGCACAAAACACTATTACTTCCACTTTGTTGCATCGCATTCAATTTCTGGGCTGGCATGTAAATGATCAAGGACACATAGTGGATTCATTTGGTTCATTTTCCTTGTTCACAATTTCTTGTCCAGAACTTTTCCTCAGATTGGAATGGCAGTGGCTCATGGTTGTGGTAGGCGCGACTGCCCATCGTGTTGCTCTTGGTGGTTTGGAGTATGTTTGGCCGCAATCGACACGTGCATGGTTACACACGCAATCGCCCAGTGACCAAGCATTGTTTCGGAAATTGCTTAACGGAACGCACATTACCCAAGATGGAAAGAAGTACAGCCAGGAAACCACGGATGACAAGTGCCTCTTTTGTGATTGCAGTGATAGTCGGTATCATAGGTTTTGGCAATGTGAACACTTTGCATGGGCTCGAACTGATGTTCCGGCTGATGTTTTATCACAAATTCCGGACCTGCCGGAGGCGGTCACTTGCTTTGGATGGGACCTCATGCCATCCACAATGTTTGAATGGTGGTCTCATTTTGCCTCTTTGGCGATTCCTGTTCCGGTTAGCAAGTTTGCGGTGGGCACCAGTATTCATCTTTTCACTGATGGCAGTTGTTTTCACCAAAGCCAACCTCATTTGCGTTTTGCGGCATGGGCGGTCATTTTGGCTTCCTCAGACGAAATGTGCATGCGGCAGTCGCATGTCATTGAAAGCGGTCATTTACCAGGGTTACTTCAGAGCGCCGTTAGAGCTGAATTGTTTGCTGTATTGAGAGCGATTGAGTTTGCTGCGGTATGCCAGGTTGAAGTGACTATCTGGACTGATTGTCGTGCTGTTTTTCGCAGGTTGAGTAGAGTGCTTATGGGGATGCAGGTTAAATCCAGCAGTGCTCATGCGGATCTGTGGGAGCGAATTGCCGGGTTGGTTCATGACCGTTGCCATCTCGTGAGGGTTGAAAAAGTTGCGGCGCATCAGAAGATCTCAGCAGCTTCCTCGCTGAAGGAAAAGTGGATGTTTCGCCATAATCAAATTGCTGACAGAGAAGCTGTGGCAGCAAACATGAGAAGAACACCTGAGTTCTGGGATTTGCTTTCACGTCATGTTGATGCAACTGCGTATGTGGATCAAATTAATCACCAGAACCGGCAGGTACTTCTTGCAATCAGCCAAGCAGTTGTGAGAGCGCAGCATTTTGATGACAGTTTTTGTGATGACACCCCCTTGCAGGACACTTCTCTGCCGTTGCCACTCTGGACAGGGCTCAAACCGTTATCATTGCCTGCCCAGGCCATTAAATCATTAAATGGTACGGTGAAGAAACTGTTAGGCTGGTTTTAAGCTGGTTTTGGGATGTGTTATTTACAAGCAAGGAACCAATCAAGTGGGTTAGCCATATACAATTGTACGCTGACTTCATGGCGGCCACTGGGAACCCAGGGCCTGTGAACTTGAAAGGTTGGAAGGACGGTGCATCAGTGCCTTATTTAACCTTGAAGGGCTTCTCCTATAGGCAGAGGGTCAGGTGGTTTGTGAAAACACTCAAAGAGTGCTTGCGACATATGGGACAGCCAATCAAGTTTGCGGTGGGCCTTCCACATTCCAACATGGTCCGTATGCACACTGGAATTTTTGCTGTCCCGTGGCCTGAGAGACGCCTCCTTGCTGTGGACAAGTGGCTCTATCAATGTGTCCCTTTTGCATTCAGGAGACAATCCAAGGCAGTTGATGCGCTGCCTTTTGTTCATTCCTTGGAAGGTATTGACAAGATTGCGATTACTAGCTTTCGTTAGTTCTACCCAAGACGGGTAACGTTATTGAGACGTTGCGCGCACAAGAAAGTGAGAAAGTGGTGGTTTCAAATGTTTCGAACATTGCTCGTCGAGTTTGGATTTTGATCAGCATTGATTATGTTAGTGCATTGCAATAGTTTCTGTGTAAAACTTGGCTAGCTCAACGCTTTGATTGTGTTGCAATTTTGATGGGGACATATTTCGTGCCCAGCTATATTATATAAACATAATTTAGTTTTGCGGCTGGCATCTACGACTAGTTTTTCTACGAGTAGTTTTTGCATCCTTGCTCTTAGCTTATACAGTGAGTTTTCTTGCTTAACACATTGTTGTATTGGCTCGTCCAGATATGGGGTATACCGGTATACCCCAAACTGGTCATTCTGACTATTTTGACGGGAACATGATGAGAATGCCGCCTTATTTCCATGGGGTAGTCTATGTTAAACAAACCCACACAAGTTGTATTATATACATGCCATACATACTGGGGGATGGTCATCAAATTCATTGATAGGGAGTATATAATATAGCCATTGTAAGGCATCCCATGCATGGCGCACCCCGTATAGCATACAACTTGACTATGGCACATATGCCCTCTGGTAAATCTAAGAACATCTACAAACGGGCCATTTTCCTATAGCCTTTGTCAGAGTTCCAGAAGCTTCCTTACAATATTGCTCAGATTTTCCCCTTGGATCGTGGAACGGGTTCACGATCCCACCCTTAGTTCGGGGATGAGTTTGGGGGATCAAACCATGAACTCAGGTGCTATCCCCAACAGCTTGAAAGCTTCTGCGTTTTTGCTTATGCCATAAGAATTAGGCGCTTATGCCATAAAGATTAAGTGCTTATGCCATAAAAAAATATCGGAACCCTTTGGAATTTCACAAAGCATCTGCACCAGAACCCTCCGGAGCCTCAGAAGGTATCTGCACCGGAACCCTCCAGAACCTCACCAAGCATCTTCTCCGCCAAAACCCTCCAGAACCTCACAAGGTGTCTGCACCGGAACCTTCCGGAACCTCACAAGGTATCTGCCCCGGAACCCTCCGGAACCTCACCACGCATTTTCACCTAGACCCTCCGGAACCTCATCAGGTAGCTGCACTGGAAAGTTCCGGAACCTCACCAAGTACCTGCACCAAAACCATTTAGAATCTAACCAAATATCTGCACCGCCGTAACCTTCCGGAACCTCACCGAGTACATGCACCGGAACCCTCCGGAACCTCACAGAACCCTCCGGAGCCTCAGCAGGTATCTTCACTCTGCACCGGAACCAACCCTCCGGAACCTCACGAAGTATCTGCAGCAGAACCCTCCGGAATCTTTTCCGGAACCTGGTGTTGAAGCTGCACCGGATCGCGCCGGATCGCACTAATATCGCAGCCATAGCAATTTTTTTTGGCTGTTGGGGAATGATAACTCAATTGATTATGGGGGATTAGTTTGGGGATTGTACTAGTCATAGAGGGGATTCTCACACTTGATTAGAGAGCCAGGCTGCAGACATCGCAGCCCGGAGGCTGCTGGGGCTTGATGGGGTTGCTGGGGTTGATGGCCTATGTCGTCAGTCGATATCACATACCAGTTATCAGGATCAATATATGATATATATATATATACACAGAATGATAACATTTCATAATAAATATATAATGGTAAAATAATAATATATATATATGTATAAAAAACAATAATTTCATCATATATATATTATGATAAAACATCATGGGAATAATATGTTTTAATATATATATATATATTAAAAACACTATATAAAATATTGTTTTTAGATATAACAATAAGTAATAATATACGTATAATAATAATGTATAAATAAAAAGCAACATATCTAACAGGTAACTTAAAATATACAATATTTATTTTTTAATATATCACATGTAAAAGAAATTAACTATATATATTATAGTAAACATTAGATATAACATATACTAGATATTAGATACAACATATTATATAAATTAGATAGCAGCAAGAAGTATATTATATATATTTTATTGAGTATGTATGTATATATTATATATCATATATAATATATATATATGTTAGATCTAAATTTTCATACAATACAAAAGATATAATACATATTATACCATATACAGTATATATACATGCAAATGTATATATGTATGTGTGTATGGATTTATCCCATTAAATCTCCATTTTTTTTAGGTTTGTAATTTGGGAACCATACCAGGAGCATAAACGGAACATGATCCTGAGGAATGTGAGCCAGCGTTAACCATGGAGGATGGTATTCTATGCGTATGTGTCGAACATGCGTTTCCAGTTCACAACCACAAAGTGTTTTGCCCGGCCTTAATGATTAGATCATAAAATAGATCAGTCTTTTGAAGGAGTGATCATTTTGAACCAGTTTCTTATTTCATAATGCTGTGGTAAAACCAAAAAAATCGCCATCGGAGCTTATTTTCATCGATGACATCCCATGACTTCCCATGACATCGTTCCCTAGTTGTTCCAGGGCAAGCTCGCACCAAAGTACGAGGTGCAGTTCATATCGGATCCGGAGTCGGGTCAGGTTTGATGCTGATCCCACCATTCGAAACGCGACCTCGCTTCACCATAGGGAACCATGATTTCAAGATGATTTCAAGGCATCCAGTCAACCCAAACTGACTTGGGGGATTGCGAAGGAACATGGGCCGTCGATTTTTTGGTGGGAAAAAAACAGAATCGTTTCTGATCACTTGGATCTGTTTTTCTTCTGTGTGTAAACCAACTTTCTTGTATTTCGACTAATGCTCTTGGCGGCCACCGAGACTCTCTTATCCTAGACACACATTCTTAGACCCATAGATATCATAGATCAAACCTTGGCACCTTGCTGTTCACGCCACAGTGGCTTGTGCGCTGGGTTTTTATGCGTCTAAATGATTCAAAAAAAACCATAACGGAGAAATAATATGATATAAGAATGAATATATGACACTACAGAACAGGGTTTGATCCATCACCGCATCAACTATTGCCACATCCTTCATCAAACTTGAGTTGTTCATTTCATGGGATTACCTCGCTGGTGGAGCCCAGATATGGCAATGGACAATCCACATTTGTTCGGGAATTTTGTCTTTGATTCAATTGAACATAATTTGCAACAGTTTTTGTTTTTTGTTAACAAAAGCATCAATTTTTTTCTGGGGTTTGCGAAAAATTACGGAGATTTTCCGGCACTTTGTATTAGGAATCGAGAAAGGATCACCTCGACGGTGCTAGGCCTTTACACAAGCACCAAATAGCGATCTAAGCTCTAGAAGATCCTCTCGAGTCTCCAGGAAGCTGGAAGTCTGACAAAGGCAAAAAATGGAAAATGGCCCGTTTGGAGATGATTTAAGTATTATTTCTTAGGTTACCAGAGGGCCGCACTGTGCCATGGTCAAGTTACATGGTATATGGAATATGGTCATCCCACCATTATGAATGGGATTCCTTACAATGGCTCTGCCAATGCCTACTCTGTGATAATTTTCCGTGGCAAACTGTTAGATTATTACAGGGTATATAATGTTTGAACCGACTGCCTGAACCATCTTGGACGGCAACAAGTGGCCATCAAGCTCGTGAATGATCCAAGTGCGTGTTCATGCGTTTTGTAGTTACAAAAAGTGATTCAAGAGATTCTTAGTATACAAGATTCTGTGTTTAAGCAGTGTGTGCATATATATATATTTATACATACATATACGTGTTTATTGTTAGTAAGTATACAATTCGGTTTTCACTCAATTTGTTAACCCATGATTGTGTCTGTTATTTTCGTTCATGTATACACACAGTGGATGTGTTTTCCTTTGTTTTTATCTTTAATGTATTGTGCACATATTGATAGACATACTAATGCACATATTAAAAAACATCTTGACAGGCATACTAATACACATATTAATACGCACATTGATAGACATACTAATACAATATTGACACACATATTGATAAACATATCAATGCACATATTAATGCAATGCATACTAGTAGAATTCATTAAACATACGAATGTTTAACATGTTAACGCACAGGTTTACAATGACACATAGATAGACAGATAGATTAGACTAGATTAGATTAGAATAGATAAACTTAGATCAGATCAAATTAGATTAGATTAGATAGATAGATAGATAGTAGATACATAGATAGATAGATAGATAGATAGGTAGATAGATAGATAGATACATAGATAGATAGATAGATGGATGGATGGATGGATCGATGGATGGATAGATAGATAGATTAGACAGATTAGATAGATTAGATAGATTAGATAGATTAGATAGGTTAGATAGATAGATAGATAGATAGGTAAATAGATAGATAGATAAATAGATAGATAAATAGATAGATAGATAAATTGATAGATAGAGAGAAAGACAGATATACAGATAGATACATAGATACATAGATACATAGATACATAGATACATAGATACATAGATACATAGATAGATATAGATAGAGATAGATAGAGATAGATAGAGATAGATAGAGATAGTTAGAGATAGGTAGAGATAGATTGAGATAGATTGAAATAGATAGAGATAGATTGAGACAGATAGAGATAGATAGATAGAGATCGATATTCTGTAGATAGATATCGATAGATATAGATAGATACAGATAGATATAGATAGATAGATACATATAGATAGATATAGATAGGTATAGATAGATATAGATAGATATAGATAGATATAGATAGACAGATAGACAGATAGATAGATAGAAAAAATATAGATAGAATAAGATAGATCTAGATCGATATAGAATGATACATATATATATAGATAGATATAGATATAGATAGATAGATCAATAGATAGATAGATCGATCGATAGATAAATAGATAGATACATAGGTAGGTAGGTAGGTAGGTAGGTGGGTAGGTAGATAGGAAGATTGAATTACATCGAGTGAGGTAGAATTAGCCAGATAGATTCAGATAGATTGA